GCAATGTGTTTTTGCGTACAATAACGGCAGTCCTGAGGCGTGCAGTAACGTCACTCCATCCATGCTTCTCGTTTCTGTATTTCCACCGAATGGTTGGTGATGGATGTCCTTCATCCACCTTGCACACCAGATTCAAAGGCGAGTTTTCATTTACGCTTATCGTCTTATTTCGGGATGGCTCATGAACGTTGATTTTTGGCTTCACTACATTGAATTAGAGTACGTATTAATGGGCAGGGTGCTTGCACTGATGGATCAGCATTAATTTTGACCATTAAAACAGCGTGATTATCCATGGTCGAGTATACCGTTTTCCGGCACATTCGATCATGGTGGAGTATACCGTTTTCCGGCCATATTCGATGCTTGCAAGTTGCAACTTTATATAGATGCTTGTATATAATCACCAAACATTCTTGAAAGTTTACAAAGCACCAGAATTAGATCATTAAACCTGCGTGGTTATATATATCAAAATATATTATTTGACATCATAACCAAAGCATGGTTATATTGTTTTTTGTTTGTATGTGAGCGCCAAACATGCTGGAAACTTTACATACGACATTAAGCATTTGACCATTAAAACAGCGTGGTTCCTCTCATAATTTAATCCTTCGCTTAAGACATACGAAGAACAACTACAGCGCCATAGTCAAACTTGCAAGAGGAGCCTCTTTGCATGGTTGTTTGTATTTTTAATGTTTGTATATGAGCGGCAAACATGCTGGAAAGTTTACATAGAACAAGCATTTGACCTCTAAAACAGTGTGGTTATCCATATCAAAATATTTGACATCATAACCAAAGCATGGTTACATTGTTTAATGTTTGTATATGAACGCCAAACATGCTGGAAACTTTACAAAGTATCTACTATTTCGAAATAAACCTAAAATTTAGAGGCATTTGCGGCCATTGGGGTTGCAAGACTCAAAAATATACACTACTTCGGTTCTTAATTTCTTCTCGGTATTTTAATCAAGATCTACTGTGGCATGAAGTTATCTCAAAGGTAAATGCGCAGGATTTCGTCTCCTACCTTCTATGTTTGTTTCGTTCAAAATATTCCAAGTGAATGCATCAACTCCTAAACTGTTGTTTGCCACACATTTATACAGCATCCTGTAAACCATTTGCCCGTTCACGCGCAATGTGTTTTTGCGTACAATAACGGCAGTCCTGAGGCGTGCAGTAACGTCACTCCATCCATGCTTCTCGTTACTGTATTTCCACCGAATGGTTGGTGATGGATTTCCTTCATCCACCTTGCACACCAGATTCAAAGGCGAGTTTTCTTTTACGCTTATCGTCCTATTTCGGAATGTCTCATCAATGTTGAGTTTTGGCTTCACTACATTGAATTAGAGTGCAAATTAATGAGCAGGGTGCTTGCACTGATGTCACGAATTTCTCAGTAGCAAAACCTTTTAGAAATGACAGGGACCGCGGGGCAGGGTGGCTCGCCGGGCTTTAGCCCCACCAATAATTTTTCCGTAATTAGTCTTTGATTACGAATATTTTTTAGTTCGCTCAAATTTCAAGGAATATCTTTATAGCAATTCAGTGTATTTTTTCTTACAAGTATATGCAGTGTATCTTATCTTGAATGCTATCGAAACTTTTACTTCTTCAAAGTATATTTTAATAACCAAACAAATGAGTATTTCAACGATATCTGTCATGATAAATCCGCCATGTTTACAAATGGATTGAAATTAGTTATGTTCAGCACATAAATATGTTTGGCCAAAGTAAAGAAAAAAACAGAGACAAAAAGGACAAGCATTTGACCATTAAAACAGCGTGTTTATCCATTTCGAAATGATTTGACATCATAACCAAACATGCATGGTTATATTTTCCGGTATATTCGACCATGGTCTAATATACCATTTATACCCTTTTCGGTTTCGAATATACCTTTTCCGGTGTTTCGACCATGGTCGAATATACCGTTTTCCGGCCACATTCGACCATGGTCGAGTATAGCGTTTTCCGGTGTATTCGACCATGGTCGAGTATAGCGTTTTCCGGCACATTCGACCATGGTCGAGTATAGCGTTTTCCGGCACATTCGACCATGGTCGAGTATAGCGTTTTCCGGCACATTCGACCATGGTCGAGTATAGCGTTTTCCGGCCATATTCGACCATGGTCGAGTATAGCGTTTTCCGGCCATATTCGACTATGGTCGAGTATACTGTTTTTCGGCTATATTCGATGCTTGCAAATTGCATTTATATAGATGTTTGTATATGAGTACCAAACATGCTTGAAACTTTACATATAGGACCAGCAATTGACCATTAAAACAGCGTGATTATCCATGGTCGAGTATATTGTCTGTGTACCGTTTTCCGGCACATTCAACCATGGTCGAGTACACCGTTTTCCAGCCTATTCGATGCTTGCAAGTTGCAACTTAAGTTGCAACTTAATATAAATTTATATCGATGTTTGTACATGAGCACCAAACATGCTTGAAACTTTACATATAGCACCAGAATTAGACCATTTAACCAAAGCATGGTTATATTTTTCAATGTTTGTATATGAGCACTATAAGCATGCTTGCAACTTTACATAGGACAAACATTTGACCATTAAAACAGCGTGGTTATCCATGTCAAAATATTTGACATCATAACCAAAGCATGGTTATATTGTTTATAGTTTGTATATGAGCGTCAAACATGCCGGGGGGGGGGAACTTTACAAAGTATCTACTATTTCCCATTAATCCTTAAATTGAAAGGAATTTGCGGTCATTTCAGAGGCCTATGTGTTTTTTGAAATTTTCCCGGACTCTCCTAGCAGGCGCGCAGTTCCGAGCCCCAGTAATACGAAAAACGCTCCGCGGTCCCTGAATGAGTTATTGTGATGACCTTTTTAAACAACCTATTAATATGGAAAACGTAATTACCCAAAATGTTAAGCGAAAAATTCGCAGTAGCTTTTCCGTTCAAGTTCTCAGCCACGCAATGAATCCTTATACCATCGTGAAGTGAATATTTCACATTGGAGATATAAATATCGGGAAAATGATCTTTTGAATTATTTACAATGTCATTGACGTCTGCATCACTCTTAACACTGTGAAGTTCGCATTTAACTCGAGGTTTAGGATATCCGATGGCCATAATTGTCATATTCCATGATTCTCCTTCTTCCAGTGTTACCACGTTTGATGTTACATTGCTTATAACGAATGTTGGTTTGACATACTCTATTAAAATCATAAAGAAATGATCGATTGAAGTTTGGAAAATTGGTGAAAAGGATAAGGATAATATTTTAGTTGACAGGCAGAATCCTAGCTATTGACGTTTGTGCGTTATATAAACGAAACTTTATTGATGGACAGTAATGATCATTGTGCATCCGAGACCGGTTGTACGATCGTTCTAAAATTGCCCTTTGTTTGGTATAACTTTATTCAATTAAACCTTATATTATATGGCAAGCGTCACTTCCGGTGAAATGGAGCTCAGTGATTAGCTGAAAAAAATTTTCAACGCTCCATTACTTTCCCGTAATGGACCGGCGTTACAAGCGTTACCGGCGTTACCGACGATCCATTACGAGATGAAAAACAGAGAAATTCTGAATGAAAAAGGCACAAATAAATGCTCAAGAGAAAATCTAATTGATTTTGAAATTAATAAGGCGTCTCCAGACAGTTAGGTAAACTAAATAATTCAATATTTCGTTTTTATTTTTTTAAATGCGTACCAGGCTACTAATACGAATTCATGCAATTCTTGTTTGTTTTAAGTGCAAATACATGCCTTATGCCATATAATAAACTTTTTATTAACCTCGCTTGCTCGGTCTTTACCGAGAAATATCGGACCTCGATGTTTTTGCACAAACCTCACTCTTTGACCTCGATCCGATATTTCTTGCTAAAAACCTCGCGCTCGGTTAATAAGAAGTTAGTAATCTTAAATTAGGCATCCTTCTTAATTATTTTTAACTCAGATGAAGAGCTGTAATTTTATTGCTTAGTTTTATAGATTTCACTCTACAACACACCGTTTTAAATATATAAAAAGACTAATGCCGCTTTTAGTGGGTGAAACAGTTACAACAGTCCACGTAATTACCTTTGCTCGCGAGAAAAACACTGTCTTCAGCAGTCCATTCCACAAGAGACCTTCCAGCAACACATACGTACAGACCGCTTTCACTTTTGCCGAATTTATTTATGGTCAAAGATCGTGTCAATCTTCCTTTCTCACGAAAATTTAGTCTGTCACTGGCAATCTTTTTGGGTTTACCACCTGTGGCGCTTCCTTTTAACCAAGCAAGACTGTAGCCTTTATCTGATATTTCACATATTAGTTTCACTGTAGCATCAAATTCAATAGAGCTGTTTGGTTTGTTTTTGATAATCGGATACAGGAACGCTTTTCCATCTGCGAAGAAGAATATACAAAGTAAGAATGAACGTGATAAACGAAGGAAAAGTATAACAAATTAGGTAAGGATAAATAACCATATATACTAATGTATTTCCATTTAATCGCAACTAGAAGCTATTTTTCATGCCGTGTGAAAGATTTTGGATGTAAATTTTAATCAACCACTTTTACATCGTTACGACATGCAACTACGCGACTAAATTGAAACCAGGCTTGACGAATGTTAAACGACTGAGGTGATGGAAAGAAGGTATTTGGTTGCGCGATAAATGTGAGCGTGAGGTGTAGTGGAGTTGATGGAAGAGGGTTGAGTTGATTGGTAGATGGGTGAGGTTTAGTGGGGGTGGGCGAAGAGAATGGAAACACTAGAGTGAAGGAATGGTTAATTTTTCTGAACATGTACAAGTCTAATCTAATAAATATAAGACACACGAGAGTAACTCACTCATGTTAACCTCGAGTCCTCCAACCCGCTTTGTTTTTCCACAAACATCGCAAGAATACGACCCAGCATCAGCAACGTTTATGTTTGTCAAATTAAACATATTGTTTTTCATTCTTAATTTATTTCCGTCAACGATTCGTTTTGTTTTCGAACCATCAAGAGTTGTTTGCCAAAGTGTCACATTAACGTGAGGGTTATTCACGCTACAATCGAACGTGTACCATTCTCCAGAGTATCGTTCATAACTTCGTGTAATTGCTTTTTTTTTCCATTCTATGCTATCTGAATAGAATATAAAATTATTTCTTATAAAAATAGTGGATGGGTACCCATAGATTTCGATCAGTGGTCGATATATTAAAAATGACTGTTAATAAAGCCCCGTGTGAAATGGCCACGGGTACCCATGCATGTTAGCCGTGTCGTGGTAATAAATCGATTGTAGTGTAACCATATTAAACATATTTAGAACATTTTAAACATATTATCATTCATAATTAATTTCTATCAACGATTCGTTTCGTTTTCGGACCATCAAGAGGTGTTTGCTGAAGTGTCACATTAACGTGAGGGTTATTCACCCTATATACAACCGAACGTGTACCATTCTCCGGAGTATCGTTTATAACTTCGTTTAGTTTCTTCATTTATCCATTCTATGCGGTCTGAATAGAAAATAATTTTTTTTTCACAAATTTCGAATAATCAGTGGTCGATTACGATATATTAAAAATGACTGCTAATAAAGCCCGTGTGAAATGGGCACGGGTACCCATGCTTTGTAGCCGTGTCGTGCCAATAAATCGAGTGTAGTGTAACCGGGGCTTAAATCTTAGTAGTCGCTTTCCTTTATCAAGTTTCTTTTATAATCAAGTACGATTCTGACAACGATTTACCACCTAGATAACGTGCTAGAATAGGAAGGGGACAGATTACAAGTTATTATCTCAAAGGCAAATGCGCAGGATTTCGTCTCCTACCTTCTCTGTTTGTTCCGTTTAAAACATCCCAAGTGAATGCATCAACTCCGAGACTGTTGTTTGCCACACATTTATACAGCATCCTGCAAACCATTTGCCCGTTCACGCGCAATGTGTTTTTGCGTACAATAACGGCAGTCCTGAGGCGTGCAGTAACGTCACTCCATCCGGATCCATGCTTCTCGTTTCTGTATTTCCACCGAATGGTTGGTGATGGATTTCCTTCATCCACCTTGCACACCAGATTCAATGGCGAGTTTTCTTTTACGCTTATCATCTTATTTCGGAATGTCTCATGAACGTTGAGTTTTGGCTTCACTACATTGAATTAGAGTGCGTATTAATGGGCAGGGTGCTTGCACTGATGGATCAGCATTTGACCAGTAGCGTAGCTAGAACGATAATTGGGGGGGGCATATTCATATATTCGTGATACGCAGAATTAATTTCTTTTTAAATTAATTGTCTTTACAGTCTATTAAAATGAATATATGAATATGGCCCCCCCCCCAATTATCGATGCTGGCTACGCCACTGCATTTGACCATTCATATCAAACTCTCGCTATACAAATAGTCTATATCGCGTTACAAGCGAGGTTACCCCCAGCAGTGCGCAATACAAACTCGTCCAAAATAAGCGCTTTTTCTGTTCGTGTGCCTTAGAAACTGAAGCTATCTTTCACTTACACACGGATTACTAAATTTAGACCTATGCCGCACATTCTTTATTGTTTTTGGTAAAGATTCGTCGTATTCCGGAGTCGGACTTTGGGGGTTGAATGTTGCGGGCTATATAAGAATATTGGTCAAAAATCGCCGTTTAGAGCGGAAGTTGCGGGAAAACTCCTCGTACTGCTTCCACTATACAATATTTCTTTTCCTTACATTCGGAATTGAAATCTACATGTTTTGGCGCGTATTTTGATATGAATTTCGTACATATTCAACGTGAATTAGCTTCGGACCGATGGCCATGAACTGTAGGTATTTTGCGACATTGGTCGGCATTTGCATATGTTGTTCACACATTAATGCAGTCTCTGCTGTTGGTGATGTGAACACAATCAGAATGGAGGCCCGCCGTTTACTTACGAGATAAGCAGGCAAGAGAATTTTATATTTTCACCTTGTATGCTTTAATATAGTACTGTTTAATACCACAGTTGTGTATATTTTGCGTCGGCAATAAATAGCGTCGGCAATAGCCTGCGCTGCTGCAGTACACATTAATGATTTTCTTATTGATATATTGTGTATATATTATACATATAATATGCTGGAATAAGGGACATTAATATCATTCACATCGGCTACCTGCGCGTGTAAGGGCGAATTTTAATCAAAAGGTTTTATTGTAATTGTTATTATCGGCTCTATCGTCTATATTGACGCGGCGGCCAAAACACAAGGCTTTTCATGCTGAAGAAACGGGAAATATATTATCTTTGCCATAGCCCATAGGGTCGCCATTCATCAAAATGCGAATCGTATCCTTTAAAATGCCTACGAACACGTTTATTTTCTTGATCAATCTCTTTAATCTCAACCTCGTAAAGGTTATTGTCTTTCGCCTCCCGTTTAAATGATTTTTTCCACATCGAACCGCAAATTCGTGGACAAAACGTTGAGGTTTGCATAATGTGCGCTTTGGTCTAGACACCATATTGTTTTACAAGGCGCGCATTTTGTAACAGAAAAAAACTGGACACTAGTTTGAGCAAATGTTCATCTCAATAGGGAAAGAGTTTGATATGTAAAACAGCGTGATGATACATGGTCGAGTATACCGTTTCCCGGGCACATTCGACCATGGCCAAGTATACCGTTTTACATAGCATCAGAATTAGACCATTTATCCTGCGTGGTTATCCATATCAAAATATTTGACATCGTAACCAAGGCATGGTTATATTGTATATGAGCGCCAAACATGCTGGAAGCTTTACAAAGTGTCTACTATTTCCCAATAATTCTTAAATTGAAAGGCATTCGCAGCTATTTCAGAGGCCTATGTATATTTTAAAATTTTCCGGCACTCTCCTAGCAGGCGCGCGGTTCCCGAGCCCCAGTAATACGAAAAACGCTCCGCGGTCCCTGAAGGAGTTATTGTGATGACCTTTTTAAACATCTTAATAGTATAGAAAACGTAATTACCCAAAACGTTAAGCGAAAAAACAGAGAAATTCTGAATGAAAAAGGTACAAATAAATGCTCAAGAGAAAATTTAATTGATTTTGAAATTAAAAGGCGTCTCCAGAAAGTTAGGTAAACTAAATAACTCAACATTTTGTTTTTATTTTTTTTTAAATGCGTACCAGGCTACTAATACGAATTCATGCATTTCCTGTTTGTTTTAAGTGCAAATACATGCCTTATGCCATATAATAAACTTTTTATTAACCTCGCTTGCTCGGTCTTTACCGAGAAATATCGGACCTCGATCTTTTTGCACAAACCTCACTCTTTGATCTCGGTCTGATATTTCTTGCTAAAGTAAAGACCTCGCGCTCGGTTAATAACAAGTTAGTAATCTTTAATTAGGCATCCTTCTTAATTATTTTTAACTCAGATGAAGAGCTGTAATTTTATTGCTTAGTTTTATAGATTTCATTCTACAACACACCGTTTTAAATATATAAAATGACTAACTGATGCCGCTTTTAGTGGGTGAAATCAGTTACAACAGTCCACGTAATTACCTTTGCTCGCGAGAAAAACACTGTCTTCAGCAGTCCATTTCACAAGAGACCTTCCAGCAACACATACGTACAGACCGCTGTCACTTTTGCCGAATTTATTTATGGTCAAAGATCGTGTCAATCGTCCTTTCTCACGAAAATTTAGTCTGTCACTGGCAATCTTTTTGGGTTTGCCACCTGTGGAACTTCCTTTAAACCAAGCAAGACTGTAGCCTTGATCTGATATTTCACATATTAGTTTCACTGTAGCATCAAATTCAATAGAGCTGTTTGGTTTGTTTTTGATAATCGGATACAGGAACGCTTTTCCTTCTGCGAAGAAGAATATACAAAGTAAGAATGAAGGTGATAAACGAAGAGAAAGTATGACAAATTAGGTAAGGAAAAATAACCATATATACTAATGTATTTCCATTTAATCGCAACTAGAAGCTATTTTTCATGCCGCGTGTGAAAGAGTTTGGATGTAAATTTTAATCAACCACTTTTACATCGTTACGACATGCAACTACGTGACTAAATTGAAACCAGGCTTGATGAATGTTAAACGACTGAGGTGATGGAAAGAAGGTATTTGGTTGCGCGATAAATGTGAGCGTGAGGTGTAGTGTAGTTGATGGAAGAGGGTTGAGTTAATTGGGAGAGGGGTGAGGTTTTGAGGGGGTGGGCTGTGGGCGAAAGGAATGGAAACACTAGAGTGAAGGGATGGTTAATTTTCCTAAACATGTACAAGTCTAATCTAATCAATACAAGACACGCGAGAGTAACTCACTCATGTTAACCTCGAGTCCTCCAACCCGCTTTGTTTTTCCACAAACATCGCAAGAATACGACCCAGTATCAGCAACGTTTATGTTTGTCAAATTAAACATATTGTTTTTCATTCTTAATTTATTTCCGTCAACGATTCGTTTTGTTTTCGAACCATCAAGAGTTGTTTGCCAAAGTGTCACATTAACGTGAGGGTTATTCACGCTACAATCGAACGTGTACCATTCTCCAGAGTATCGTTCATAACTTCGTGTAATTGCTTTTTTTTTCCATTCTATGTTGTCTGAATAGAATATAAAATTATTTCTTACAAGTAGTGGATTGGTACCCATAGATTTCGATCAGTGTTCGATATATTAAAAATGACTGTTAATAAAGCCCCGTGTGAAATGGCCACGGACACCCATGCATTTTAGCCGTGTCGTGGTAATAAATCGATTGTAGTGTAACCGTATTAAACATACTTAAATATTTATTTTAAACATAATTGTTTCCATTCTTAATTTATTTCCATCAACGACTTGTTTTGTTTTGGAACTATGAAGAGTTTTTTGCCAAAGTGTCACATTAACATGAAGGTTATTCACCCTACAATCGAACGGCTACCATTCTCCATGCAGAGTATCGTTTACTTGATTTAGTTCTTTATTGACTATTTATTAATTCTATATGTTGTTTGAATGGGAGAAAATACGTTTTCTTGCTAACAGTGGGTTGTACCCCCAGGTTTTAGCAAATTGTTCGATATATGAAGAATAAATGTTCAAAAAGCCTTAGTATAATTAGAAAGGGGTAAAAGATTTAAAAAAAATTATTCTGCGTGGCCAACGATGTGTGAAGCAACCTCAGATTATTGCACGATAAGCCCAAAACTGAAAATTATTCGATATAAAAATGACTAAAAATATACGCAGACAATTGCCAATACTAAAGATTTTGTTTTTGTGTAAATATTCTTCACAAAATAGGGTTCCTTGGAAGCTTCAGTTTTATATACAGCCCAATGCTCCTCGGGTTCAAGTATTTTGGCTTAAAACTCTGAAAAATAATTGGGCTCCGAGAAAACGTCAGTTGTAAAATCTATTAACACAAACAGTTATCATCACGGTAGTCAGCTGTTATCGTTCACTGGTGCTCATGCAGTGAGTTCACTTAAATACAAAAAATCGCTTGTTCCTGTTCCGTATTACTAAAGTACATTATTATCCATCATTTCATCAAATATATCATTTTTGAATGAATAGAGTGATGCATAATACATCTAAAGCAGAAATATAGTAACTTGCCTGTATCTCCTGTGCAAATGTTGTTTTGATTGGCATGCAGGCGAGAAAGAGCTGATAAATAAAGCAATACCAGTACAAGAATATGTAACCCAATTTCCATATTTCTTCTGCATTCGAATCTTTCTCTCTTTTTCTGAAAAGGTAATACCAAAAGCAACGGTCAATCGTGCATCACGCGCGGCAGTCGCTAAAAGATTAATTCGATAACGTAATACATACGATCATTAGAAAATACTCAGAAACAATAATAGCGCTTCATAATCGATATTTTAGCCAAGCTGTTTCGCAGCTTGATTAAACTAAGGTGTTTAGTGATTAAAGCTCTACTATATATGTGCTTATAAGCGATAAAACCAATAGAGCAAGGATCTAAAAACACTGAAACTTATACGACCCCAGCTCGAGTATCTCAACAAATTTAAATCCATGCTTCGTTAGTTTGTGAAAAAATTTGCTTGGTACATGCTGAAACATAAAAACAGGCAGGAAATGCTAAATTCTTAATTGTTTTTAGTTGTTTTGAGTATCCAAGAGATAAAAAAAGAACCGTACTTTTGGCTCATTTAAAGAATTAGTCAAAACGGCGGTCGCATGTGTGTCCACTAATTTGAAATATCTATGCATATACTGGCTTTTGACTTGCATTGAGTTGAAATATAAAATTCGATCCAGACACATATTAGAAAGACCGCTTTGCAACATTTCGGTCAACTGTTTTCTTTCACATTACATGCGAGCTATTTCAATAAGCCCGCCAAATATATAATTTTCCCCTACTTTTCTCTCGGTCAAAATTTCATCAAAAAAATTTCATTAAAAATATTACTCTGAACAGCTTTTGTCGCGTAGAAAACCATGTAAATGTTCCTAGGCCTGGAAAAATTATTTTTTCAATGAAATTATACTTTTTGAAAAGTCTTTCTCAAGTAATACATAACACAATTTACATAAAACAATTAAAATGCCTTGTCTGGCGTCGATATGGCGTGATAGTGCGTTCAAAGGACGCTCAATTAAGAACATTTGATCACGAACGAGGGCCGCGGAGAGGGGTAGGGCTAAAATGTGGATACGGATTGCGGCTGGCGGATTGAAAAATGCGGATCAGGTGATAAAATGCGGATGAGAGGATAAAATGCGGATGATGGGGTAAAATGCGGATGAGGGGATATATTTCGGATTGGGGGATAAATTGTGGATGAGGGTCAAAAATGCGAAAAAAAGGGAAACGATTTGTATATGTGAAAGCTGGAATTTTAAAGAAATAAATATATTGCCTTTCCGAAAATTTGTTTATCACCGCAATGACTGCCGCTGTGCCGCATGTGTTTTCGATTTCGTGCAAGAGAGAATCTGTGGATTTGGAAAGGCATTTCATTTCCATCGATGTCTGTTTCTTTGGATCATTTTGAGCGAGTTCGCTGCAAATGTTATGCTATGGTACTGAAATCTGGTCACCATCCAATATCTCCCTCAAGGTCAAAATATACAACGACGGGCGACAAGATTAATCCTAAAATAAAAAGTAGGTGAAATATCTTACAAAGAGACACTTTATATTTTGGACATGCTGAGTTGTGTTATGACAGAGAAATTCGAGACTTGTTCTTCTTTTATAAGGCGCTATATGCCTATATGGTTATAAGTAATTATGTTAGTTTTATAAGTCATGATCGTTCTCGACTATAATGTTCAATCCTAGTCTATTACTTCAAGTTCTGTTATGCAGAACACTACATTCAAGAACTCTTACTTTAATCGGACAGTTCATTTATGCAACTCAGTGAGTAGAAATGCTTGACCTATAATGGCTTTTAGACTTTATCTAGTTTTAAGAACTTTCTTCGTCAGACTTATTTACTGTTACGTAGCTCTGTTTTTAACCCAGATATGCCATTTACACCTGGTCTCTTGATCGTGAGTGCCCATGCCTCAGAAATTAGAATGTAAATTTCTTTGATTGAAGTAAAGTTCGTTTTGTCTATGCCTAGGTCTTTCAAACCAAGTTACAATTTTTCTAATACCTGTCACAAATTATGTATTTGAATGATTTTGTGGTTATTGCGCAAATCAAGCTTTACCTCAACAATAGTTATATAATGTAATGTAAATTGTAATTGTAATGTTTATAAGAGGGGGGGGGGGGGTGTGTGCCCCGTTCGCACTTTTCCTTTTGGGTAACCCCTTTATTGTTATTGTTAATGTTTCCCAATAAAGTAATAATAATCGTAAATGGACGGATGACAGTCAAACAATAAAGGTGATAAAAAGTTCGTTGACAAGGCGACAAGTTGTGAACTAATTCATTGTGTGAGTTTCATTGAAAAAGGAGACGTCATAAAAACAATCATGCATGATCTCAGTGCAAGTTAATATTTTCCGGGAGATTACAGATGAAATCCTCCTGGGTTGATTAATGAATTCAGTATTTTATTCATTTGTCGGGCGTGACATGTCGGGTTTTTCCTTGCTGTTTTGCATTTCTGCAACGAGATGACTGTTCGATGGCTGTAATCTGGTTGACTGTTAAAAGAAGGCAACGAACGCAATTATTCTCATTTGTGCGAAGCAAACCAACCAGTTTTGATTAGCGTACTTAGTACCATGCTGAAGCAGTTGACGCTTTCCCATTATGTCTCTCAGTCTATCTTCAGGATTCACTGACACTAGAGTGCCTTAATACTGCTCGATACGGACTTCCTCCGTCATATGGTATGCGAAACGAGGCATAGGGACCAAATATGTGCACGCTTGAGATCATTCTGGAAAGCAACGTTTAGTTGATATAACAGTATTTCTGGGGTCTGGGGAAATATAATACAGGAGTGCTACACCAAATAGGCGTCGTCTTGGATTTCAGAACAGACTTCGTTTGTGTTTCAACACTAGCGCTAACTCGACCAAAGTCAGTTAGTATGGACACAGAGCTCTTTGGAACATTCTTTATACGTTTTGGCTAACTGAATTTCGTCAAATTTAAGATTGGTCAAATGCTGATTA